AACAGGTTGCTTTTCACCCCGTCGTCCAAATCGCTGATAAAGAAATTGAACAGAGCGGGCCCAAGGACCGAGCCCTGGGGGACTCCGCTGCCCACTTCCCCCCAGGTCGAATATGACCCGTCCACCACCACCCTGAGTACGACCCTTCAGCCAATTAGCAATCCATCTGACCGTGTAGGCATCGATGCCACAGTCGCCTAGTTTTTTAATGAGGATGGGGTGGGATACAGTGTCAAAGACCTTGCTGAAGTCCAGAAAGACTACATCCACGGCGACACCTGCATCCAATGCTTTTGTGACCTGATCATAAAAGGCAATAGGTTGGTCTGATATGACCTGCCCCTAATGAAACCATGCTGGTTGCCCTTGAGCATCATCCCTGACACCGGCCCATCACAGATGTCGGAACCCTCCAAATCGGAACCCTCCAAATCGATTCGGAGAGATTCAGCGCTTCGGATATAGACATAGTATTAAATGTTTTTTCTACATACCTCAAGGTACCAGGCAGCTCATGAATGCTGTGATGCTGGGGTGGATGGAGCATCCCACAGGAGCACAGAGGGGTCCCCAGAGCGCTCAGCAGCAAACCCAGAAGTGGACCAGAAGCACTTCCGGTCCACTTTTGGGTCCACTGGGGAGCATGCTTGGGACCCCTCCACAGACTCAGCAATTGGTATCTCCTGGGTTTGAGGCAGCACCCGGGATCCCCCCGCGACCAATCGCCGAGCCGGGCGGAAGTGCAGTGGTGGCCCCGCAGCACACTCAGCGGCAGATCCAGAAGTGGATCGTAGGTACTTCCAGTCCACTTCCAGGTTCGTCACTGAGCATTGCAGAGGCTAGCGGGGGGGTGTACTCCTGTGAGACATTCCATCTGCCCCAGCATCACAGCATTCACGAGCCATGCCTGGTACCTCAAGGTATGTAGAAAAAACATTTCATAGTTTCTTAGTAGTTTGGGGTCAGAAGGGACCGGAACAGATCATCTAATCTGACCCCCCGCCACTGGCAGGAGCAAACGCTGGAATCACATGACCCCAGACAGGTGTTCGTCCAACTTCTTTTTGAATTTACCCAAGGTAGGAGCAAGGACCACTTCCCTAGGAAGATGGCTCCAGATCCTAGCCACACTAACAGTGAAATAGTGCCTCCTAATCTCTAACCTGAACCTATTCTCCAGCAGCTTCTGGCCATTGCTCCTCGTCACCCCAGATGCTGCTGGTGGGGAATAGAGCCCTTCCTATTTGCTGCTGATCTCCCCTAATGAGTTTGTAAGCAGCCACCAAATCCCCCTTCAGCCTCTGCTTGCTGAGGCTGAACAGGTTCAGGTCCCTCAGCCTCTGCTCATAGGGCCTGCCCTGTTGCCCTCCAACCAAGCAGGTGGCACTCCTCTGAACCCTCTCAAGGCTGGCCACATCCCTTTTGAAGTGCGGCACCCAGTAGTGGACACAGCACTCCAATTGTGGCCTGACCAATGTCGCCTAGAGGGGGAGTATCACCTCTCTGGACTGGCTTGAGATGCACTTTGGATGCATGACAAGGTGCAGTTGGCTTTGCTGGCTGTGGTCTGGCATTGGCGGCTCATGTTCATCTTGAAGTCAATAATGACTCCAAGATCCCTTTCTGCCTCTGTACTTTCAAGAAGGGAACTCCCCAGCCTGTATGTATGCTGTGGATTCCTTCTCCCAAGGTATAGTACCCTGCATTTGTCTACGTTGAACCCCATCCTATTCTCATCTGCGCACTTTTGTAGTCTGTCTAAATCTAATTGCAGCCTCTCTCTCCCTTCGAGCATGCTTACCTCTCCCCACATCTTGGTGCCATTGGCAAACTTGGACAACATGTTTTCCACCCCCTCATCCAAGTTGCTGATGAAGTTGCTGATTTAAAGCTGTGTCTATGGCCGAATTGCTGATTCTCCAAATCAGTATTGAATCTTCAGATTTGGATTCAGCCAAATTGAATCAGTGCTTCTGGTCCACTTCCTGGTCAACAGCCAAGAGCTCAGGGGATTCCCCCCGCACTCCCGTGGGACATTTCATCCGCCCCACCATCTCGGTGTTCACAAGTCGCCTGGTACCTTGAGGTATGTAGAAAAACATTTAAAGCTGTGTCTATGGCCAAATCACCGAATCTCTCCAAATCTATTCGGAGGGTTCCAATTCGATTCAGAGAGATTGAAGGGTCTCCTGATTCAATTCAGTTTCGGAGATTCGGCCGCTGAATCAGACCAAATCTCCGCTGAATCAAATCAGCACCTCAAATCAGCCTAAAACTTTGTTCTCAGAGACTGTGGGCAAAGTTTGCAGTAGCAGATAGCACTAAAAGTTTATAGCATTTTGCACCAATGAGTTGGATAAATACAATCAGGCATTCAAAGCCCATTGATGTTATAAAATCTGCCCACAATAATTTTCATCCTATTATTTATATGAAACTGAAATAAAGGAATGGTATCAAAACATGCTTGAAGAAAATCCTGGTGCTATTTAAAACTATTGACTTTAACGGTGCAGGATTTAGCTATTCTTTTATATATATTAAGTTTTTCTCCAATGTCTACCTATTTAGAAGGTATCCTATTTCTTTAGAAGTATATTTTTAAGAAATTACTTAAGAAATTAAATGCATTTTTCTGAACTTCTGGTGCATCACAAATGACAGTTTGGCACTGAATCCAGGATATTAAATTATTATTCACTTTGTGATCATGTCAAACATTTCCATAAAAAAATCACAACATTAAAAATGTATCATTGAACTAGAGTCTAGTTTCAGTAAAAATCTTCAGTTACACACATATGCTGTATTTTGAAAACTTCAAAGATAGCACTAGTATATTTTGGATGTACTAACTGTTAGTTTTCCAATACTTCCCCAAGGACATGTCCTTTACAATGAACCCAAAAGTTTATTTTTTCAGATCCGTTTCCCTGACCGTTCAGCCAATTTTATTATAAGTGAACTCCAGATAGCCCCAACCTCAAAAGAAAAACAATTGAGGGGGAAAAAAAACCAATTGATGTACCTACACAGTTTTAAATTAGGTGATGTTCTGATTTATAGGTAACACATTTTCATTTTGTACTTTTAGTCAGCAAAGATCTAGCACCCCATAAGGTAAATATTGCCTGTTCAAAAGCTATCACAATGAAAACCTTTAAATAAAAACCTACCAGTTTATAGTGTTGCCAAAAGTAGCTGGCCTAAACCAAAGTTTTTATTTCAGTGTTATCTGTTGTTACTGAAATAACATGGTATTGACATATTTTTGTCTTACCACTGAATATACATTTAACCTCAACCTACCTCTCAACAGTTCGCAATTGGACCTTGTTTAGGTCCTTCAAAACATCCATCATACTAGGGACACACTTATTTCTCTGATGTTCAATATCATCAATAATTGTTGATGTAGTCTTCCTTGCAGCACGACGTTGTTTTATAAGCTCAATTGCTGAATTACTGACATCAAAGTCAGAGTGCGGTGGGGGGGGTGGAAGTGGAGGTGAAGGAATTGCAAAGTGACCTGGCAAGATGGACAATGGTGTAGAAGTCATTGTTGGCAGTGGGTAAGATTCATCGGGAGTGGCAAATGTATTCAAGGCTTCTGAACCTATTATAATAAAATTAAGCATTATTTGTTTACAGAACAAAAACAAACAAACAAACAAAAGCCAAGTTAAGAGTAGCTCTGTAGTAAATATAAGATTCTGATCTAGAACGGGCCCTTCTATCTTAAATGTCTGACAAACACCTACCAGAACAGAGTCACTATGGTGCTTTCATAAATAATTACATAAAAATAAAAACTTAAGGAAAATTATTTAGGCTTCCAAGTAAATCCCCTTAAGAAGCAACAAACTCAAGTTTTCTTATGCAACCTCAATTCTGCCTACTTCTATCTCCAATCTTTACACTGAGTAAGGTTAGGTGGCACAGGGGAAAAAACAGCATGTGACCATATAACTAAGAAAAAGCCATTACAATGGAGATACACAATGTCCAAACAACCCTTCCACATCCTCCCCACTTCTTTGGTGATCCAGTAGCTCCTAGAAATATCAACTGCATTATTTGTTGCTGCTAAAGATAGATCTACTTCCTTAGAATGTTTTTGTTTAGTTACTTTGGCAGCATGCCACATTTTTCCTGACAAGTACAAAAGAAGGGAAATGGCAATGAAAAATGTATAATTCATCTAAACCTCAACAGAATTTCACACAAGAAAGAAGAGGAACTTCTCTATCCTGAAGACTTTCCCTCCCAAAATACAAAAGCCTACTGCAAAAAGTGGAGGGGGTGAAAAAAAGAAAAAGTAACAAGAATATTTTAGAATGCAGATTATTAGAGAGCTTAGACACAAGATTGCTATTAGCTTCCTCTATCATTAAAGGTTTTTATATAGGCAATCCATGATATTTGGTACTGAAAATGAACCATATCTCCCATGTGAGAGCACAGTGGTACATATATTCTAAATCAGTGATACTCAACTTTTTGGCACATTGGGCCACAAGTGGCAGTGGGCCAGTCTGCCTGCCGGGATTGGGACCCAGAGGCCCAGCACTGCCCCTGGTGTGCTGGGATTAGATCTTGGATTGTCCAGCATGCAAGGCCTGGGGTTCTCCATGAGTTTGGAAATCTGGCAGTCAGGGAGTGGTGCCACCACTCCCCTGTTGCCAAATTTCCAGACCCATGGGGAGCACTATAGGACAGATAACATGTGGAGCCAAAGGGGTGTTCAACCAGGGGCCACAGGTTGAACACCCCTGCTCTAAATGCATATCTCAGAACAAAAAACTATTTAAATCAACTAGAATATGACAAACAGGCTGCAAAGTGGAGAAACACTGAGAAAGGTGAATTCATAAATTTCTGAATTCATCAAAAACACTTCTGAATTCATCAGAAAAATGACAGAAGAAAGACATTACACTTAACATACTGTTAATTTAATTTATGAAATATTTAGACAAAAATCAATCTGTATATTGGTGCACTGATAAAAATGTTTTGGGCCAGTACTGATGGCCAATTACTGATCAGCCATATCGGCCTATACCGATCCAATTGCTGATATGCCGCCCAGCAGCTTGGAAAGCAGCGTCTGGCCAGTAAGTCTGTGGGGGTAGAAAGGGTGTGGAGGAAGGAAGGGGGAGCGGTGCAGATCAAGACCCCCCCACAGTGAGGAAGGGAGTGGGCCTGGGACTAGGGCTGGAGCTGGGGCAGGGGCTGCGCAGCTGGGGTGGGGCGGGAGGGGGGCAGCTCCTGCCACTGAGCGCACTTCTGGGGGGAAGCATGGGGGGCACATGCTCCCCGGATCTGTACAGGGCGAGGGCAGGCTGCCCGCTGCACACACAGGGCCAGACTGCACCAACCACTTCCTAGTGGGGTTCTGGGCCAGGGCTGCACTCTGGACAGGCAGGAGCAGGGAGGGGCAGGTGGCAGTGGTGCTGAGGGGTAGCTACTGATGGGCTTACAGCCACCCCAAAATTCACCATAGCCCTCCTCCCAGAGCTGCTGCCGCCCGCAGTCCCAGCCCAGCCCAGCCCCCCTGCTGGGAAGATGCTGACAGCCCTGGCCCTGAGCATGCAACCTGCCCTCACCCCATGCACAGAGCTGGGGGACATGTGCTCCCCATGCCTCCCTTGGGAGTGCACGCAGCAGTGGGACCCGCCCTTCCACCCCCTGGATGAGCTGCCTGCGGCTCTGTCCCGTACCCTGCCCCAGTTGTGCAGAGCCTGCCCCTGCCCCAGCTCCACTCCCTCCTTCACCATGGGGCCTCGATCTCCCCCATCATACTTCTTCCCTCCTCCACACCCCTTCCCCACCCACAAACTTACCAGCCAGACTCTGCTCTTCAACCTGCCAGGATACGTTCCTGTTGCATGCATGCTACAGCTGTGAGCATGCACGCAGCATTTCTCAGCGACATTATCGGCCACATCAGCCAAAAAAAACCCCAATTACTGATAATGACAATTTTCCTTTTATCAGTGCCAATACGATATGAACTGATGTATTGGTGCACCCCTAATTGATTACTGTGTCTTGATCCCTGTGCTGCAACAATTGCAGCAATTTGAGCACGAAGAAGGGTTAGTTCATCTTCAAGCGCAGAAATTTTTTTTATTGCTTCTTCATTCACAAAATTGTCTTGTCCTCTATTCTTTGGAACAGTTGGCATAGAAGCTGTAGTTGGAGGCACATTACGGTGAACTGCACTTTTTTTCTTTCCCCATGATTCAGCCCTAGAGAACAGAAATGTACTTAAAAACTTCAACTGAATACTAACAGTTTTACTTATAACTTAATTCTTTTACCTTTTGGGATAAGTGCACTGTTACTAGCACTAAGAACTGAGATCACAGACTACTGGCAACAGCACCAGGTTTTGATGACCATCTACATAATCTTTTATATTACACTACTTCTTTTTAAGCATTTTAAAGCATTTTTAAAGTCCTATCAAGTCACTCCTTTTGCTGTATCCCTCAAATAATTGGGTTTGTACCAGAAACAGTGCAATAATGCAGAAACAAGTGACTTCTCATCAGGCTGTATGAGGAAGAAAGTTTCCTACCAAGAAAACTAAAACTCTGCAAAACAAAAGGAACCTTATGGAGCACAGGGACAGATGTAAGAAGTGCCATAAGATTGTCAGTGCAGTCTGATAAGTTTGCTGGGTGCTAACAGAATGTTCCTATATCCCTCAAATGAAAAATTGAAACAAAACACCTTTAGTTCTTCATTAAAAACATTCATAGGCTCTAGATACTATCGATGACTCCTAACTGAAACTATTTCCAAATATCTAGACCATGTCTTATTTGAGACCAAGAAACTTAATAGTTACTCATATTTTCCTATGACTTTGCTCTTACAAAGTTCATCCAGATCATATTATGTTAAAAAAAGGAACATGGATTTCACGTGTATAGGGTGATTTTTTGAGGGATTCAGCTGTTGGGGACCAAATAGAGCAAAGTTCCTTTCTTAAAAGGTACATTATTAAATGATGGGCTACAGAAAAGTGACCACCTTGCCAAAACATACTTTTGAAATCATTTATATGGATCTTTTCAATTATAGTTTTTAATAAGCAAATGGGCACCTGGTTCCCTAATACATAGGATCTTATCTTTTTCATGACTGCAGAATTTGCCCCTTGCCACAAAACTGCTACAGAATCTCAGCTTTAAAATTTAAACATGATGTTTCTAAACTTCATGGTTGTGGAAATAATCTTGAAATATCAAACAAAAGTGTAAAATGATGCAACTATCACTATCCTACGTTCAAAAAACCTGAAACAAAGGAGAGATGAGATTAGCTTCATTCACCTCAACCAGGGCCTAGGAGATTTTACAGACAAGGAACTCAGCATTTACCAAGATGCCATGGAATTCATTGTTTCACTTTAACCAAGCATGCAATATTGTTTTCCTTTTCCCTGTCCTCCTAGGACATATGTGATCTTGCTTACCAGATTTCCCCATGAAGAGGAAATATGGATGCAGTGTTTCCAATGAGCAGTCCACAGAGCCAAAATAGGAAAAACGATAAACTGGTAAACTGGAGCATGTCAAGAATAGCACCAGTCAAGAAGCACAAAGACAAGCCACTTAACTAGCAATTTATCTCTCTGTTTTTCAGTTATTGAGCTTTTCTGTGGAAAGCAAAACAGACCAATAAGAATTTGAGTACCATGGTAAAAGATGATTAAAGATGCAGTCATTCTTCCACTAACCAAATACAGGCAGGTTTGAACTTTATGCCTCTTGCAGTTTCACATCAACAAGCAGGACCAAGATCAGAACACAAATCCATGCCAATATAAACTAGATTTGCAGATGCTAAGTTTTAACTGAGGTATAGGCAGTGACCTGAGAACACAAGGCAGTAAGAACACTCAACTTCTAATCTTCATTTAGGCACACCCAGTCCCTAAGTGAGCTTGGAGGGATCATATAAAGGGCCAGAGCCAACCGCATTTTTTGGAATTAAAAGTAACTTCATAAACAACACCTGCACTAAATGTCCTCATAATTTGTCATTGTACAATCATATTTTCCTTTGGTAAAAGTAGAGGAAATTAAATGAAAGAAAATCTTGAAACAGACTATACACAAAATAAACTTTAAGACTAGATAAACTCCATTTCCCTGGCAGCCATAATAATCTTAGAGATTTACTTGTAACAATAGTGGCCCAGAAAACCTCTATTTTAAGTTAACAGGGATCTTTCAACATTTTTGCCTCAGCTTTCTCATCTATAAAGGTCTTTATTACCTAAAGTGAGGTAGAAAAGGATAATCTCATGGGAGTGTTTGAGGATCGGGTTTCCACATATCTCCACAAAGCTTTAGCAAATGAAACAATATGGACAGAAAGAGGAGGCAAAACCCCAGAATAAAAGAATTCTGAATAGGTGCATGCCATAAAGTGTTAAGCAAAGGGTAGGTAAGCACCGCTGAAAAATAAAGGAAGCACTACCTTCAAATGCTCAGTCAGAGTCAGATAATTCTCAGTACCAAAGGTTATGGGCCCAACACATCATTTCCAACATAAGTACAAAGGCTTTACTTGCCTAAATCTAGTAGAAGCTTGTCCTTCATCATTTGCCACCCACAAGATATCACCCAGAGATGGAACCACAAGAATTGGAGTTGTACTTTTCTCATCATAATCCAAGGGATGGACATCTTGAACCAGCTGGAAAAACAACAAAAAAAAAAGAAGTTGTGATGCATGACTAAAATTTAGCCCTGCAAACCAGCCCTGCAGGCCACATAAGTGGTGCTGGGGCCATAGATCAAGCCATGCACTGCTGGCTGTATTTATTGCCATGACTAGCATTTACGATGACAATTAATGCTGCCACCACTCCCCCGCAGCTAAATTTCTGGACCTGTGTGCAGTCCAATGGACAGCTCCATGGACTAGACCTGGCTCATGTGCCAGAAATTGAGCCCCACTGGGTTAAATGACAGATTGAGTTAAATGAAAGACAGCGAACATGCAATATACCATGGTCGAGACCAGAAAAGCTATTATTTCACTTAACACTGAATTATTTAATAAAGTAGAAAATTAGTACAGCAATAACCCGCTTACCTGCAACTGAGGTCTTGGACAAGGTTGTAAAGAGAGAATTGTCCCAAGCTTACGAACAATGCTTCGAGTAGTTCCATACTCCTTTTTTTGCCAAACCAATATAACCTAAAGCAAAAGAAAGAAATCTGACAGTCTAAATCAAAAGATCTTAAAAGTGAATTTTTTTCAAATTCACACAATAATGCCACATATGATCTGGAGATAAAGACAATATATTGTAACAGATGCATTCTAAGGGTATGGGCAAACATCCACTTGAAGCAACTTCAAAACAGGAGAGGGTGTTACTGCTGTAATTGTTGTGTGTGCATGAGCCGGTAGCAATACAAGCGTAGCAAAACCACTCCAACTTTAAACCTGCTTCAGCCAGGATGGAAGTTGGGGCCATTTAGTTCACTTGTATCATTACAGGATCATACACACGTAACCGTAACAGCTGCTGCCTACTCCTGGGCAGCAGCTCCCTCTATCCTTTTGAAATCACTCTAAGCCTACATTTGTCCATACCCTAAGAATAACATGAAGGCCAAAGGAAGAAGAATAACCAAACATTCTAGCTTGGGGGTTACCTTGGAAAGTCTGTTGAAGAAAAGGGTTGGGCAGAACCCCATAAAATCAGTGGTAGGCAACCTTTCCTGGTGCAAGCTAGAGTGACTCACCTCAGGGCAGAAGGTGGATCCTAAGGCCCACCTGGAGCTGGCACTTCTGCCTGTGGAGGCATGAGCAGAGTGCATGCAGCCAAAGCCTTTGCCAAAGCCCCATATTTGCGAGCCGGATCCAATGGTTCCTTGAGTCAGATCCAACCCAAACACCATAGGTTGCAGACCCCAGTGTTAAATGGGTCAATATAGCCTATTCTTGGATACATATGAACTACTAACAACAGTGTGAAGGGGGATGAGGCAACAAGAAAAATAACTTAAGACATTTAAGATACCTTGAACTGATATTTCCTGATGATAGTACACATATGATGGAAGTACCTCCTTGTAAAGGATGTTGGAGGAAAACAGGTGTCAATCAGATGGCTGATTCTGGCATGGTCTTGACAAGCTACCCACAGAGGCATGGCCTTCCAAAAGAGATGGGAGAACTTTAAGGATGTGTAAAACACACAAAAACAAAATTTCTTAGTACACTAGCTACACTAGCATTTTTCTGAAGTTGAAGTCCCACCAGTGTGGAACATACAATGATACAAATATTGTGATCTAACTTTGGACAGAGATTTGAAAAGAACTTACAGGTGCTTAGCATTTTTTACAATTGTGATTTGTGGTGCTACTGGAAATATTCAGCATAGGGCAAACTAGCAAGAGCTGAAATGATGTAGGTTTTCTTGGGTCTACTGTCCTAACATCGAGGTGGTAAGCCCCTGCAATTCTTATTGAAATCCACTGGAATGCATGCACTCTGCGCCTCATTATCAAGGTCTCTAGCAGAATCAACTCATTGCTATTGGCAAATCTTTACATACTAGCTGATACCTGAAGGTGAAGTATATAAAAATAGGTTAAAATATTAAAGGTACATGTATTTAAACAACCATAATTACAGCAGAAGCTCCATTATCCGGCACCCATGGGAAATGGGGGGTGCCAGATAACCAAATGTGCTGGTCCAAACCCTCCCGCCATGTCCAGAGCATCCAGATCTCAGATTAACCGTGCCGCCCCTCCCCTGGTGTCAGTGTGCCAGGGGAAAGGGAGAGGGGGCTCCGCGCAGGTTGGTTTCCCCCGGGCTGTGGGATTTGAGAAAACTGGAAGTCCCACTTCTGGTTTCCTTTTTGCCGCATCGACTGGCATCAACCAGCATGCCGGTTAATAGAAATTGCCAGTTAATGAAGTGCCAGTTAACGCAGCTTTTATTGTAGCTGCGTTACAATAGTTTTATTGTAAAACTACATTGTATATGAATATAGTTATACCAGTAAAATTCTGCTTGGGTACAGATACTTGGGTATAATGAAGTCAGTATAGGCAAATCTTTTATCTCATCAATAGTGACAGGTTTGGGGGACTGTGAATGAATGAATGGTATAGCTCTTAAATAATTTTGACTAGAGGAGTTTAAAGATAACAGTCAACTAAATGGCAGGACTTGAATTGTTTGAAATTCTTATTAATCTGAATTCCATTTTAATAAAACATCCACAAAATAAAAAGATACCCTTTAAATCATATCTTCTTACCTCATCAGCTGGCATGCCAAAGTATTCTAGCAGTTGTCTTAGGAAATTCACCAGCAGAGCCATTTACAGAGTAGTTTTAGAATTCAAGCATTAGTCTTATATGTATCCGGGAAGAGTTGAGAATACCTATTCTAGAACTGCAAATATAAGAAGTCATCACTACAAAACTTATAAAGAAAAGAAGGAAAACCCCAAACAAATACATCACAAACCCAAATTCACTCCTGTTTTTAACATTTCATTTAAAATAGGCTCAAGCCTCAGAAGCAGCTGAAGAACCTGAACATTAAAATGCTAGTCCTTTAAATGTACTACCAGCTCCTCTAACCCTCTGATCCACGTCACCTTTTAAAATTAACAAGAACTAAAAACTAAAGAGCATTCAACTACTTATATGGATTTGGGTGTAATTAAGGGGCATCTCTGTAAAGGTATCTGAAAGAAAGATTCATTTGGTTTATTATCAATTAAAAATTATTAAGTCTTACTTAAAACTAGAAGCAAGAAGTTTTGACGATATCATTTACTGGACTGCTCAGCTACACAAAGACATTACCAAAAAAACATTGTTTCTCACATATTTCCTGGACCATCACAGCTGCAACACTCTCACCCTATTATGGCACAAAGGTACTGTTAGTTTTATTAAAATACATACAATTAAAATTTTAAATGTGGTACCCTCGTAAATTACTATAAAGCCCCAAGCAATCAGGACTCATGGTAGAGATGATATTTTGTATTAGACCAACTAGATTAAAGATATAACCTCTACCATAAGCCCTGATTGCTTTTGCCTCGAGACCAATACGGCACAACCTGGCTATAAAGCCCCAAAATAGTCTTAACAACAATGCAATTCATCTTTGGCCCTGGACAAATGCATGCCTTGGTGTAATTTACATCAGTTGTGCAAGATAATGAAAACTGTACTAGGATCAGGGACCAGCAGCCCGTAGGTATCCCAGGGCAGCACTTTGCTTTCACTCTATCCAACCATATTGGGGAGGGGAGGTAATTGCCTGCTTGCTTTTAACCCAAAGGTAGTCCAGAAAGAAGGCAAGGCAGGACATTATCTTAGGCTAGAAACAGGCATCACCAAAAGCCAGATGTGTCCCAGTACAGCTGATGTGCTTCATTGGGTCACAAACGTCACCCGCTGTCCCACATGTTGATCTTGTGGGACAAGGTGTAAAGCATGTGTGAAGTGCGTGTGCAAAGTGTGCATGTGTATGTATGTGAAGTGCACGTGCCAGGCGCGGCTGGTGAACTGTGAGGCAGGTGAGGTGGGTGGAGCATCACACTGGGAGCGACCCACCACCTTGCTTTTCCCTCCACAACCCAGTGCTGCAGGGAGCAGAAGACCCGAGCGGAAAACTTCCTCCTTGCTGCTTCTCACCCCCCTGCTGCCCCGGCAACGCGAACCTGCACGGACAGTACCCTGAGGACTGGAAAAAGGCCAACGTGGTGCCCATTTTTAAGAAGGGGAGAAGGGACGAGTCGGGTAACTTTAGGCCAGTCAGTCTTACCTCTATCCCTGGGAAAATACTGGAAAAAATCATCAAAGAGCATATTTGTGAAAGCCCAACAGGGGAAACGATGCTGAATGGAAACCAGCACAGGTTTGTCGCAGGTAGATCCTGCCTGACAAACCTTATAGCCTTTTATGACCAGGTCTCACACTGCCATGACACAGGAGCGGAGGCCGATATCATCTACCTGGATTTTAGGAAGGCCTTCAACACAGTATCGCATCCTGTTCTCATAGGGAAGCTAACGAGCTGTGGAATGGACGCCTACACAGTCAGGTGGGTGGCTAACTGGCTTAGGGATCGCACCCAGAGTGGTGGTTGACAGATCATTTTCAACCTGGAAGGAGGTGGGCAGTGGGTTCCCACAGGGTTCGGTCCTTGGGCCAGTATTATTTAATATCTTCATCAGTGATTTGGATGAGGGTGTATTGAGCACCTTCTCCAAGTTCACAGATGATACCAAATTATGGGGCAAAGTTAATACACCAGAGGGCAGGGAGCAGATTCAGGCCAACCTGGACAGGTTAAATCAATGGGCGGAACATAATAGGATGCAATTCAACAAAGATAAACATAAGGTACTCCACCTAGGAAGGAGGAATCCCCAGCACACCTACAGGTTGGGGGATGTCCTCCTCAGCAGCTCAGAGGCTGAAAGATCTTCGAGTCATAGTTGACTCCAATATGAACATGAGCCGGCAGTGCAACGAGGCCATCAACAAAGCCAATCGCACCTTGTCGTGTATTAGCAGATGCATGACTAACAGATGGAGGGAGGTGATGCTCCCCCTCTATGCATCACTAGTCAGGCCGCAGGTGGAGTACTGTGTCCAGTTTTTGGCCCCGCACTTCAGGAGGGACAAGGAGGATCTGGAAAGGGTTCAGAGGAGGGCCACCTACATGATTAGTGGCCTCCGTGAAAGACCCTGAGGTTGAGAGAGGTTGAGAGATCTGGATCTCTTCAACCCGTACAAAAGACGGCTGAGGGGTGACCTTGTGGCCACCTATAAATTTATCAGGGAAGGACAGCAGGGAACTGGGGATATGCTGCTTTCCAGAGCGCCCCAGGGAGTAACTAGGAATTATGGGTGCAAACTAGTGGAGAGTAGATTTAGGCTAGACATTAAGAAGAAATTTTTTACAATAAAGGTGGCCAGAGTCTGGAATGGGCTTCCAAGAGAAGTGGTGCTGTCACCTAACATGGAGGTCTTCAAGAGGCTTGACAATCACCTGGCTGGGGTCGTCTGACCTCAGTCCTCTTTTCTGCCAAGGGCAGGGGGTCGGACACGATGATCCACTGGGTCCCTTCCGACTCTATAATCTATGAATCTATGAAGGCAGTGAGGGCAGTGGTGCAGGGCTGTTCTCCTCAAAGCAGCAACAAGCGCAGAAGGTGGATCGCCCGGGCAGCGAAGTGGGTGACAAGCAGCAAGGTATCCTTGTGTGGCCCCACTATGCCCAGCCATGCCAGGTTGCACCCGCTGGCTCCAGAAGCCCCGAGGGAAGCAGGACGGGAACTCAAGCCCACAGCCTGTGCCTGCCCCGAGTACAGATCTGGGGGGGCATGGGTCCCTCCTGCCCCCTGGGAGTATGCACAGCAGCAAGGAACTGGCCCTCCTCCTCCCCCAGATGAGCCACCCACAGCCCCGTCCTGCTCCTCACTGGGGCTTGCAGCCACGCATTGTGGCTCCAGCCCCAAGCCCCACTTGGCTGGGCAGCAGCCCCTTGGCCCTGCCCAGTTCCCTCCCTACAGGGGCCTCAATCCCCCTTTCCCCCACCTACCTGCTGGAGCTGCTCTGCAGGCTGCCTGGGGCCAGTGCATGTCTCTGCACGTGGTGCCCCCTGTCTTTCCACCTTCCTCCCAACAGCTCTTTACCTGGGCTGGGGTGTCAGTACAGGCGCCCCGCTGCCTGCCTAAGCCATTGCAATCCATTCAAACTGGTCAAGTGTTTCCACTGCTCATGCACCATTGGGGCAGTAAGGAGATGCCTTACTGCACATATGCCTAGTAGACTGGACCAGCATAATCATGACAGCATTAATCATGTAATTTTGAAACTGGTGGGGCAGCAGCCAACCACCCCCTATTGACCGGCCACCACTGGCGTGTGTGTTCCACTTCCTGAGACACACCTTTGGCAACGTCCAGGGCTCCCAGAGATAGCCAGGGGCCTCTCTCAATGAGCAGGAAACCCAGACTTGCCCTGCTTCCAGAGATGTGTCCTGGAGATCCTTGGGGACCACGTCTAGAAGGAGGAAAAGCTGGGACACTCCAGTGTACTCCCAGGGCAGAAACCTCCAATCCGCGCATTGGCAGAGACTACA